AAAAAATGCTGAACTAGTTCAGCCCCTTTGATTTTCTGACTCCAGCTCTTTGCAACATTTCATTGTAATACTTTTACTTTGTCTTCTCATGCTACCCTTTGGAATCTTCTGTTTAACTCATTAATATCTTGATTTCTTCCCCTGGTTTGGCTTGGTCTCTTCTTCCTCCTCTGTCTTTGTAATGACCTTTTGTACTCTTCCTGGATGATACTCTTTATATCTTCTCACAACTCATCTAGTCTTCGCTCATTAGTGTTCAAGGTCTCAAACCTGTTCCTGAGATGGTTTTGAAATTCAGAATGGTATTTAAAGTCAAATTTTGGTTGCTGTGGATTTGATTTAATTTTTCTCAGCTTCAGTTTGAATTTGCATATGAGTAGTTGGTGGTCTGTTCCATAATCAGCACCTGGCCTAAAAATCTCATTCAAAATATTCTAATGTTCATTTAAGAAATGAATACACAGGCACACTGTGCATTACCATGCATTATATTTTAGGCATTTAAGCAGATTTCTGAAAAGGACAAGCCCCAGAAAAACACTTTTTTTTTTAAATTTTATTTTTATTATTTGTGTGTGTGTGTGTGTGTGTACCGTCAAATCAGATTTGACTGGTACAGGAGGAGATTGTTCCTCCTTTTCCAGCAAAGTATCTGGTGGATTTGAACTGCACACCTCTGGGACCGCAGTGCAGCGTCTTGCCACTAGGCCACCAGAGCTTGCCAGAAAAATGCTTTTAACAGATAAATACATTATAAATTTTCTATACCAAAGATAATGGTCAATAGAGACATCCCTAAAAAATATCACTATTCTTAACAGCCAATTATGAAAGAAAAACTATTAGAAAAGCAAAGTAAGTACAGATAGAAAAATTCTGGTTACATTCATGTCAGTTTTGAAGTCATTAACTTTTCTTTGTTAGAGAATAGCATATTTATAACCAAAGAAACATTTGTTACTCTTCTTTCCTCCTCAGAGTAAAATTTGTTTAGAATTAAAATTATCAGAGAATATTTCTTAAATATTTCGGTAAAGGTTGAAAAAAGCAAACATACATTCCAGTCTTACACGAAAAGTTTCTAATTCATGTATCCATCATTATACAAGCACTGAAAACCTTATCACTCAAGATAGATTTATAACATTTGCCTTCTGTGAGGATTCCCTGATAAAAGGAAGTTGATTCTGAATGACAATATGAAAGCATTAACCAAAGTTTGTTTAAAAAAAAAAAAAAAGAGATGGAAGAAGAAAAGTATTATTTGTTACTTTTAGATGTGGCGAACACCCACCTCTCTGCACACAGCAGCAATCTGGGCTTCATCCATGCAGGTTTCTGTTACGACGTCAGTAAGTGACCCGCCAGCCAGGTACTCCATTACCACAAATAATTCATCTCCCACCAGGTAACTACAAACAGAATGAACAAAATACAGTCACAGATTCACTTCTTGTAAACTCTGGGCATTCCTCGGGATTATTAAATCAACTGGCATATAACATAGTCTACAAAGTCTAAAAAGTTTGCAAGCAACCATTTAAGGTGCAACTATTAGTCTCTTGCTATTTGGAATACAGAAGAGGCAAGAAAAGCTAAGATGTATTGAAACAAGTATTCTAAAGCATTAATGAATGATGTAAACGTCAATTTACACAACCCTGCGACCTGAAGAACCACACAGTACGAGTCTACCACCAACTATTCTAAAAGGAGTCACAATAGAAGATCTAAGATGAAATGAGGGGAACTGTGGAGAAAAATTAAGAAAGATAAAAAGGCCAGAGACTGGTGAGCCTATGTGGACCTTAGTCTCTCTTAGTAAGGTGAGCAAAACTCCCACTCATGGCTCACCTTTTTTGCCAAATAATAGACAGGTTTGTTAAGGTGGCCCCTAACGGCGAGCTCTGGTGGCCTAGTGGCAAGAAGATGCACTGCAATCCTAGAAGTACACGGTTCGAATCCACCAGATGCTCTGCTGGAGAAGGAGGAAAAATCTCCTCCTGTACCAGTCAGATCTGATTTGAAGGTACACACACACAAAATAACAATAAAAAAAAAAGGTGGCCCCTAACACCAGGCGGCACTCATTCCTTATGCCCAAGGATAAAACTCTTGAGTAAGAATTACAGGAATAATATGGGAAAATCGTGGATATTTTTAACAAAATGTGTATGAATAGTTGAATTAAAAAAATCAATCTGCTTTATAAACTTTCACTCAAATCACAATTAAAAAGAAATACAGGGAACTCTACTGAAGAATTTCATTGTCAACTTTAATTCTGCTATCTTCAATAAGAGTCAGCTAAATTAGTATTTCTTTATTAAATCTTTCCTTCCTCTAACCTGAAGATCAGTAAAGTCAGTAAAATAAAAGAAGTTCTTTCAAAGCTGGGGAGCACAGGTTATGGTTAGACTACACTTGGCAGCAGATGTAGGTAAATAAAACAGACCCCTGGACCAATCATATAGCTGCCAGAAAGCTCTGTGACCACTGCTCATATGGACACTGGGTCAAGTAATCTGAACAGAAAGATCATTCACATAAAGTTCTAACAATGCTAGTTATCTGGTCTTCATATAGAAGACTAGAAACAGCTAAGCAGAAGCAGCTGGAAGCATTTAAATGGTAGGCATCCAAATAACAAAAATGGGGCCTGAGAGATACTATGAAAGTCGCAAAGTTGTTAGGTAACAGCAAAGAAAAAGAACATAGTTTTCAGGATTACCCTAAATAATTTAAATGTTAAAATTATGCCTGCAATTTAAAGTGGAGTGTTTCAATTAAAATAAGCCTACAGGGTAACACTTTTCAGTGCTTTTTTTACTGATAAAGAGACTCAAGCTTAGAGAAGCTACATAACTTACCCAACTTGGTAAGCATAACTTGTTCAATTGTGCTAAATAGTGAATGTTAAGTGGAAAAAAAAAAAAAATCAGAATCTAAAGCAAAGTATGAGCGGTTTCAAAGCCTATGTTTTATCTTAATAACCACACTATACTAACTTGAAATACTATTTTAACAGTAAGAAAAGGTTAACTTTGTTCTAAATATTTTGAGTATTGAGAAACTTCATTTCTATGAACATAGTCCCATAAACCTATAAAATGAAATCTAGTACCACTGAGTCAGTTACAATTCATAAAGCCTCTTTCTGAGGTTGAAAATCTTTATAAGAAGAGAATGCCTATCTTTTTTCTAAAGAGCAGCAGCAAGTGGATATGAACTGCTGTCTTTGCAGTCATCTGCTTAATACATTACGTACTAAGCCATTAGGACTCCTTATGATTAACAGAACTAAAGTCTGAAATACATTATTTTGTCATTCTAAACAAACAGAAGCATCCAAATAAAACCATCTCTCATGAATATTGATGCAAAAATCCTAAATAAAATACTGGCAAATAGAATCCAACGATACATAAAAAAAATAATCCACCATGACCAAGTGGGATTCATAACAGGTATGCAAGGATGGTTCAACATAA